TTTTTTTTTTTTTTGGGGGGGGGGGGGGGGAATCCCCCTATCACGGCTCAGATGGCCCATGCAGGCTATCTGAAGGGTCCTCGCAGCCATGTGGCGCAGACCCCCCCACCAAGATCAAGGCAGGCAGTGAATATGAACTGAGCACAAGCTGGCCGAATATATAGTCAAGATTCGAATTCAGGTTTGTGTTTGAGCAGTTATGGGTTGCTCACGTAGCTAGGCCCTGGCCCTGCTGTGATTCTCAGGGCTTCGCTGCACTACTCACCAAATGTGCAAATCTAGAATGAATCTTCTGCAGAACATGGAAGAATACGCCGCCAGGGTCCCATTGTATTTTCTTCTCTGGTCTTCACGGCAGCCACAACAGAGAAAGAAAAAAAAGAAAAAAAAAACAAGTAAAAAAAAAACAAAAAGAAACTTCACTTACCCCGTCATAGCCATTAGGTACATGCCATCACTTTGAAAACACCACGTTCGTGAAGGCCTTCACAGAGGTGGAAAGGCCAGCAGTTTTTTGAGTAATGTATCTGGCCAGTAAGTGAGGTATGTGCTCGAAAGTGGTTGTGGTTTTTATTTTTGAGTTTTATTGGTGGAATCATTCATTGCCCTGTCAGAAAGGCAGGGCGGATTCCACCCGTAGACATAAACTGCCAACCTCAATTCGCACTCACATACTACTGTTGAATCCTGTATCTGGCCACGATATGGGCCCACATCTTGTTTTGCTTTTGTTTTTTTGTTTCATAGGGCCCTATGGAAGTATGGAAGTATCTGGCCAACAAGTTTGGGACGTGCATGATGTTGCTTTTTTTTTTTTTTTTTCCTTCTGCCACCCTGCCCGAGAGGCAGGGCGGATTGCACGCTGGGACATAGACTGCCAAGCTCACCTCATAGTCACAGTGGTACTCTTGCGGCCTGCATCCGACCATGATCACAGCATAAGGGGTACTGTTCAATAAGGGTACAATCCCACCGGAACCTGGTAAGGATGTACCTAATGGCTATGACGGGGTAAGTTAAGGTTTTTTTTTTTTTTTTTTTTTTTTTTTTTTTTTTTTTTTTTTTTTTTTTTTTTTTTTTTTTTTTTTTGGTTTTTTTTTTTTCCCCAGTTAAGGTTTTTTTTTTTTTTTTTTTTTTTTTTTTTTTTTTTTTTTTTTTTTTTTTTTTTTTTTTTTCTTTTTTTTTTTTTTTTTTTGTTCCTTCTCTGCTGTGGCTGTCGTGAACACCAGAGAAGAAAATACAATGGGACCATGGTGACATATTATTCCATGTTCTGCAGAAGATTCATTCTAGTTTTGCACATTTGGTGAGTAGTGCAGCCAAACCCTAAGAATCACGGCAGGGCCTAGCTACGTGAGCAACCCATAACTGCTGAAACACAGACCTGAATTCGAACCTTGACTATATATTCGGCCAGCTCGTGCTCACTTCATATTCACTGCCTGCCGTGATTGTGGTGGGGGGGTCTGCGCCACATGGCTGCGAGGACCCTTCAGATAGCCTGCATGGGCTGTCTGAGCCATGATAGGGGGATTCCCCCAGCCCCCCGAGAAAAAAAAAAGGACCTTTCACACACATACGCACACACACACAGTCACATACACACACACAGACACACACAGACACACAATTTCACACACACTTTTTTGTTTTTTTTTTTTGTTTTTTTTTTTGCCCGTTTTGCATGGGGCATTGGTCCACAGCCCCTCCCCAAGCACCGCCGCCGCTCCCCACACTGCCCACAGCCCCCCTAAGCACCACCGCCGCTCCCCAGCGCCACCGACAGGCCTCCCGGGCGTGGGTGGTGCTCTGCGCGTTCGCGTTCAGGGCGTGCAGCCGCGTTCTTTGAACGCGCGTTCAACTCGTTCAATAACTGAACGCGGAACCCGCGTTCAACGAACGCGCGGTAATATAGTTTATATCCTCCCGAGTTCTGGCAGAGCTCCTGCAATCGGTGGGGCTACGGGTTGCAATCCCGCCTGCCGCCTTCCTCTCAGAACCAGTAGACTAGACATAGAGTAAGAAGGGTAGAAGGAGAAGCATTTAGTCTCTTAGATCCAAGAGGGGTGCTCTCAGACTCGCAGGAGAGGGCCTTATTATCTTGTCTCGCCTAAGGGCCCCGCAATGGCGGCCGACACGAGCAGCCGCCGGTCAAATCGAAGTCAAACTAATGACAAACTGTACTCCGACGAGGCTTCAAGTCATAACGGTACCCTTCCCAAGCCTGATCATGCCGCCAAGTCCAAACTACCCCGGCCTCAGACAACACCGTCGCCAGGCAGTAGCGCACATCTCCCCCATACTCCGCTAAACCGCCGGCGAAGCGAAGCAGCTCCCAACAACGCAACCTACTTAGTCACCTGTAGTCAAACGGCTACCTATTGGCTCCCCGGTAGTTCTCCTAATCGCTGCAAAGGCCTCTCTCTCCCTTCACCGAGACTCAATTTGCCTGCCGCCAGGCTCTCACGATCCCCGGACGCAGCATTCGACACGCTGACGGCCAGTTTGCGTGGAGGTCCATAATCCTGTCCGAGGACGTGTGGCTTTGGACGTACAGAGAGCACCGGCCGGGGCAAGGAGTGGGCGTAGTGAGAGCCTACTTGTATTTGGGACCGGGTGCGGTCAAGGAGGCCGTGGTGGGTCTCGCGACGACAGAGACTAGTGACGCAGTTAGCAGGGCATTACGCTACCTAGGGAACGAGGTAGCTGCCTTCCCAGCGGAGGACTCGAGTGACCCGTTGACGCTATTTCACGGACGCCCTCCTCTTGATATCACGGGCGAGCTCGTAATAGCACGGGACGGGTTTTTTCCGTAAAGCGTTAGGAGCCTGCGAGCGATAGTTCCGACGTTCGTAGTAGAGAGCGTCTTTGGAGGTATTGGTGGAGTGGTCGAGACATACTTGGCTTATCAGGATCTCAAGATCCTGGCGAGAAGACCTGCCGACATGGACTATATCTATTATTCGCTCGCGACTGGTGGGCCTCGTTGGGGAGACGAGAGGGTTCAGCTTATAGAGCTGATCCGCTCGATAGATGACAAGTGGCCCCAACCTTCGTGCGTTTGGGATTGGCTAGACCGTGAGCTCCGAGCAGGTCCCGAGTACGTGACCTGCATCGGGCGGCTCTTCTCAGACGACTGGGGGAGCTGGTGGAGTGAGGACGCCGGGCGACCTCTGATATACGGCCATCAGTTGACGGAATACTACCAGGCCATAGGACAGGCGCCATACCGCGTCGAGGACGAGTTTGACGACGGGGGTTTGGAGCGAGAGGATGACGAGGAGCTGTGGGAACCAGACTGGGTCGACCCAGAGAGTGAGGTTGACGAGGAGGAGATTGACGTTATAGACGCCCATTTTCCCAGGATAGGAGTAGCGGTCCGGGCATAGGAGGTAGAGGAGCGCACCTGGGCGACGGTTGAGTGAGCCTGACTACTGAACCTATTCGACCATGGACCTAAGTGCGAGAGTTGTAGGAAGGGTCAGCAGAGATGGGGTGTATTGGAGGGAGTAGAGTGATGCTGACCGAGAGTAAGAGAAGAAATGAGGAGTGATTCAGCGGCCTGGTTAGCATATGTTTTCTCACGGGAGTCCGAATCGTATAGCGTGAGGAAGCTTGTGGGACCCAGAGAGACGGCGGTTGGATAGGACATACCACTTCCTGTGGCATTAGAAGAGGCAGGGCGTGTACCGATACGATATTTGGGAACGTGGCTCGCTGAGGGGCTCTTCCTATGGACAGTGATACTACGAGACGAACGACCCGAGAGGACACATGATCTAGAAGGGGTCGGACATCTAATAGCGGATATAACACACGATTTAGAGATAGGGCTAACGCTCGCAGGGGCGAGCAGGAGTTGGTGGAGAAGCGAGTTGTTAGGCAGAGTGATCGTTAATCAGCAATTGGCGAGACTCGCTGGAGGGAGGACGAGYAGGAGCTGCTTGGTATACGGTCCACCACATCCGATCCTCTACCCAAGAAAGGATTGGCGGTTCGGAGTTCCTACCTTCGTGGTAGGGCAGACCTATGGGAGCGTGGAACGTTTGAGGAGAGCAGTGGATCACACACTTTACGCGCTATGGGAGGGCTTAGCGCCCCGCTTCAAGGAAGTATACTACGCCATTTCTGTGAGGTGGGGGCCGCCCAGTAGAGAGACCCTTGGCGACATCATAGATGTTACGAGCTGGGTGGACTGTCTGAGGCCTATCGATCTGATTAGGTACTGTAGGAGACGGGCAGAGATCGATTACGCGGGGCTAGAGGATGCGAGATTTCTCTTCGAGGTTGCAGCTTAGAGAATGTCGGGAAGGACGGCCACGGTGATGCGTGTAGAAGAGCAACTGGTAAGTACAGGATACACTGTGACAGTACTTCTCCGAGCGTACGTAGATGAGGACTTGATGGCGGGTGAGTGCAGACAACGAGCTAGGGATTTGATCCACGAGCGTAGAGCTGAAGTACTGGCGCGAGTGGCCTTCCAGACCTCGATTACTTATGATGTGATGATATGGTCTCATGGTTATATGCGCACGGAGCACTACCACAATGAGACGGTAGAGGAGGCTAGAGTGAGGGTGAGAGGGTGAGCTGGAGAAAGATGTGGACTGAGTATGGAAGAGGAGAGTGAGGCAGTCGGAAGAGTGAGAAAGCGCGTTAAAGAACCACTCTTGAACCAGGTAAAGAAGTTGGGGGACAAGTTAAGGGAGATCTGGTCATGTCAAGACGAGGGCAAGTTGCGAAGGGCTGAACTCATGACAAGAGAGTTAGACAATCTGTTTAGGGAAGAAAGAGAGATTATCCAGGCGTGGAGATCAGACTTTTTGGAGAAGGTAAAGGCTAGAAGCGTA